ATGTCATCACACCAGTCATGACCAAACACGGCCTTTCCCCTAATGTGATTTCACGCAGGGCTCCATGCCCGGCCCCACCCAGCGCTTACAACACAATTAATTACCCCACCGTGGTTCCCCCACGGCTGCCTTCAGCCGGCCCAGCCCTTCTCTCTCATTCTTGCAGAAAAGGCAGATTCACATCTGGCCCAGATTACAGGATTCTTGCATCTGTTCAAACCCAATGAGCAGAGCAGAGGAGGTCTGCTGAGCCCTCGTGGGTAATTAAAATTCAGCCCAAGGGCTCGTGGGCTTGGCGTTTTGGGAGGAGGGACTGGGAGCTTCAGGGAGCCCCTGCGTAGCTCTCTGAACTGAATGTTTGCAGCTGGTAGAACAGAATCCCACAGGCTGAAAAGAAATGGATTCTCACCCTTCTGGGAAGTCCAGTGTCAAGCCTGGGCTGGGCTCTGTGTGTGTGTGTGTGTGTGTGTGTGTGTGTGTGTGTGTGTGTGTGTGTATTTCATGGTGTGTGTGTGTTGGGGGGGGGGTTGGTGCTTCTCACTGTGTTGTCACAGAACAGACCATGCAGGACACAAAGAAAAATCTGGATACCAATTCATGACCACAGTTGAGAGACAGCGCCGGGCTGCCTCCAGAGGTCAGCAGCCGACACACCATGCTCTGAAAGGGAACTGATGCGGCTAGCTGACCCCCCTCTGGCCTCAGAGCCCACCTCCCTCTTTTAATGCCCGATGTCCAGCTGCTAACACATCTGGCAGCTCTCCAGGCTTGTTTCCAAAAGGACTGGGGTTGTGGTTCAAGTGGTAGAGTGCTTGCTCAGTGACTTGAATTCAAACTCAATACTGAAAAAAAGAAAGATGGAAGGAAGGGAGAGAGAGAGAGAGGGAGAGGAGGAGGGAAGGAAGGAAGGAAGGGAAGAAGGAGGGAGGAAGGAGGAAGGAAGAGAGGGAGAAAAGGGAGGGAAGGAAGGAGGGAAGAAGGAAGGAAACAAGGAAGGAGGAAGGGTGGAAGGGGGAAGGATGGGAAGGAGGGAAGAAGGAAGGAAGGAGGAAGGGTGGGAAGGAGGGAGGGAAGAAGGGAAAGAGAAAGGGAGGGAAGGAAGGAGTGAGGGAAGGAGGGAGGGGAGAAGGAAGGAAGCAAGGGAGGTAGGGAGGGAAGAAGGAAGGAAGCAAGCAAGGAAGGGAAGGAGGGAGGAAGGGAGGAAGGAAGAAGGGAGGGAGGAAGGGAAGAAAGGAAGGAGAAAGAGAGGGAAGGAGGGAAGAAGGAAGGAAGGGAGGGAGGAAGGGAGGGAAGCTGGACACACTGTCAGGGATAGCCAGGACACAGTGTTAGCCCAGAGCAGCATCTGGTTACCTCTTCCCCTCTCAATTTGTGAAGGAAAAGGACTTCTCTAAAGGATTCATTTCCCCTCTTTATTTGGGGGGGGGAGGGAAGAGTAATTTTTAAAAATTGTGATAATGATTGACATGAATCTCAAGTACAGGATGCCTCCGTTGGTGACACCCTTAGAAACTAGAATTCCTTATTGTGAAAATGATTGATACTTTCCTGGAGGTGATGGAAATTGATACTTTACAATTGCATGGTTAAAAAACAATCAATTTTTTTGTGTATCTTCAGATAATACTTGAGAGTTTTCAAAGGCACAGAATGTAGTGTTTAACGATTCATTTCAATTCTCCCCACCTCCGCCCCCTTTTCAGGTGATTGAAATCAGGGCCTCAAGCTTCCTAGCAGGTTCTCCATCACTTGAGTCATGCCTCCAGCCCCTTTGTGTATTGACTGTTTCCGAGGTAGGGTCTCATTTTTTCCCTGGGACTGCCTGGGCTGTGATATGAGACACTCTTGGGTCACAGTTTATTTATTTTTTGTTATTCTGTTGGTATTTCTTGAACTCAGGGTCAGGGCATTGTCCCTGAGTTTCTCTGCTTAAGACTAGCATTGTACCAGTTGGGCCACATATCCAGTGTTGGCTATTTTGCTGGTTAACTGGAGATAAAGAGTCTCACGGATTTTTCCTGCCTGGGCTGGCTTCAAACTTGGATCCTCAGATATCAGTCTCCTGAGCAGTTGGATTACAGGTGTGTGTGCCACTGGCACCTGGCAACAGGTAATTTTCACAATAACACTGTACTCACCTTTCTCTGTGTCTACATGGATAGTGCAAAGGCCAGTGCAAGGCTGGGACTGTCACTTTGTCACCAGTCAAGATGAAACCAGCCTCAGCATTCTTCACCCCATGCACTTGCTGGGGAGTGGGGGAGGAAAAGAAGAGGACGCAATACCAGCTCCTTGCAAGATGTATTCAATGGAGCATAAAGCCAACTTTGCTGTGGAGCATCTGTCCTTCCTATTTTCCTCTCTCATAAAACACAAAGTCTGCTGCTTCCTGGAGTATGCTGATTGTACAAGGAAGGAAATGTGTATTACCAGCTAAACTAACCACCATGCTCACATACAGAGAAAAGTATGTCCATTTCTCAAGAATAAATGCAGCAAACACTCCAAAGAAAACAAATCTAAGGAGACATTTGTTGCTGATAATCTTTGAATACTTGAGGAAAGAAATGTGAAAAGTATCACTGTGAACTTGACAGTTCCCCATACTCTTCTGCTGAGATTAGTGTTAACAGCTCTAAGCATTGGTATCTGTTGAAACGTGTCAACATTTTGAAGTAGTGACCAACAAGTGGTTACAAAATCCATGTATGGACAAAAGATCTAAAGGCCCCAGCCATCGGAACTCACTGTCATCACAGGTCTGTTCAGGATTTTATAATCCAGTTACTTTTTTTTTTTTTCTGTCAGTCATGGGGCTTGAACTCTGGGCCTGGGCATTGTCCCTGAGCGCTTCAGCTTGAGGCTAGCGCTTTAGCACCTGAGCCACAGCACCACTTCTGGTCTTCTGTTGGCTAATTGGAGATAAGTCTCATGGAGTTTCCTGCCTGAGCTGCCTTTGAATTGATACTCAGATCTCAGCCTCCTGAGTAGCTAGGATCACAGGTATGAGCCACCAGGGGCCCGTTGCTACATGTAAGCTTTTGTGTCACATGAGACCATCTGCAATGGTAAATAAATATACCTTGTTTCCAACTCTGTCCTTAGGTCAGATTTTCCTCACATACTGAACCAAAATGTCAGAAGTGTGGAAACCAAACATTCAAGAAATTTGAAAAGTATAAAAGAAGGGGCTGGAAAGGTGGCTTAGTGGTAGAGTGCTTGCTTTGCATGCATGGGTTCAATTCCTTAGTACCACATAAACAGAAAAAGAAAAGAGCTGGGACTCAAGTGGTAGAGCACTAGCCTTGAGCTAAGAGCTGATATCACCCAGGCCCAGAGTTCAGGCCCCATGACCAACATACACACAGTATAAAAGAACTCCTTAGTGGAGAGGTAGAGATCAGGAGAATTGAAATCTAAGGCTAGTTTCCAGGCCCCCATCTCAACTAATGGCTGGGTATGAAGGTGTGCACGTGCCATCCAAGCTTTGAGACCAACAGGATAATAGGTAACGATCCAGGATAAGACCCCACCTCAGTATTAATCTTAGAACCACAACTGGAGCGTCAAGTGGTAAAGCAGCTGCCCAGCAAGTCTAAAGCTCTGAACCCAGTGATGCTCAAGAGTTCTCATTTTGAAATGAGAACTTCAATTTTGCATGGATAGATACATCCATGGTAAGCACCAGGGGGCTTGTTAGGGTCCTCCCAGACCTGAGGAGTGGGACGTTTTGCAGGCTGCAATATGTGCCCTAGGACCTTCTCTCCTCCCTTCCCTGGCCTGTTCCCTCACCCATGTCAGAATGCTGGTACTAGGATCTGGACAGCCATGGGGTCAAAGTCCAAAGGCATGAGCCCCTCTGGTGTAGCACAAACATCCCCAGATCTTCTCAGCGAGACTGTGTCCAGCCTGTTCTGCTAGCATCCTTTCTGAAAGGCCCATCTCCAATCAAGGAGCCCTGCCTGGCGGTTCCTCGGAAGGGCTGAGCTGAGCACCCTCAGCCCTGTGGTTTCTGGGTTAACTCGTAGCCACAGCCAACTCTGCAGACTGGGCTCTGGTCACCTGGGGCCAGAGGTAGGGAATGGGGTTTGAGGCTGGCATTCTTGTGCCCTTCCTCTAAGTCAGGAGTGGAGACTGGAAGACATGACCACCACAAGCCATTGACATAAAACAAGCACTTTATTATTTCAGCAAGAAAAGGCCGAATTATAAAATCTGCACACTTTATAGTCACTCATTACCATGCCAAAGTCTCCTTCACGCTTTGGTTTTTGTAACTGTATGCAACCACAGAACACTGCCATCTCTACTGGTAAAAACCAGCCTGGAGTTGGCAATTCCGTGAGGCTTTCCCTGTGTGAGTTGAAGCCATGGCTAGGATTTCTTTCCGTGGCCGCACTTGAAGGTAACACAGTTATACTTCGTGTAGTCTCATCTTGGGTCTGTAGGCAGAGTCATCCCAGGATTGCCTTTCGGGGGGGGTCCCAGTGTACCCTGCACCCACACATGGTATTCTCAACACAGGTGAGACTTCACAAATGTCAACCACTGGTCCACAGCCATCTTGCTAGTAAGATCAAAGCCTGCCTTCAAAGGCCACGTGAATGATGGTTTCTAAAACATCTGCAGAGATTCTGAAGCCTGGAAGAGACTTTACCTGAATCGGGGCCTTCTCTCTCCATTATGTTCTCTGTGCTTCTGGATGCCACTTCCAAGAGATCCAAGAGAGAAGGAGAAAAAGCCCAAACCATTTTGCTCAGAAGACAGAGGCCAAGTGGAGGTGGAAGAGCTGAGGCTGGGTAAGTTCGGGTGAGTTCACATGAATTTGTTCAAGCTTCAATGTAGACTCTGCTCACCCCCACCTCACCAGCTCAGTACGATATATATATATATATATATATATACATATACATATATTGGTTTCTGTATCTTTTACACCGAGCTGAGATAAAAATAAAGCTTTCGTACAAATTACGTTTGTTGTTGGGTTTTTTTTTTCCCCAGTGAATTACTTTTGCAGTAAAAATAGCTGCTACACAGATCCCTCCTGATCTCTGAAGAGGAGTCGCCTGTTTCCAAAAATAGTTTTCTTATTTTAATCACACAGAAGACCTCAGGGCAGGGGGAAGGAAATGGCAAGCCAGGAAAAGGAGACGGTGAGCTGCCGGGAAACGGTGACACCAAAAAATAAAATACATCTGTGTATAAACGGGTTTAAAGGCATGCACGGAAGTGGAAAACATAGGCCATTTGTCAAGAAAAATACTGCTGTACAGCTTTTACTTTACAGTGAGGGGAGTACTGAGGTCAGGCACACCCTCCAATAATATTAAGTTTCTTATATATATAAAAAAAAATCTCCCAATGTACAAAGGCCTTGCTGGGTGAGAACCAAGGCAGAACAAAACAAGCACAACAACAACAACAAAAACAACCAGGAATTAATTGTTACCCCTCAGAGCTCATTCCTGCAAGAGAATCACATGAGGTAATACACACTTTCTGATTCTCCCCGTTGACCAATGGCTGATTACCTCTTGGTAAAATTTGCCTGCTGTTAAAAAAAACAAACTTTTTTTTAATCCTACTGGATGCCTGCATTCTTATTTCAAATACAATTTATACATAATTACTTAAATTACAATATACAGTTTCTGTTAAATAGAACTGGTAGAAGATTCTGATTAACGAAGGTAAGATTACAATCTTATGTACAAACGCACTTCTGAAATGACGAAATCGTCTGTCCTTCCCTCCCCCTCCCCCTGCCCCTCCCCCTCCACAGAGAAGGCTTTCACATTTGCTATTCCTGTTTGCGAAAGGGACAACATTTAAAAAATAACATTTTTTTTAAATGGTTGTGAGTCCACACGCTCCCCACCTGCAGGACCTCTAGTTCCAGAACTGTCCCTGCGCCCAGCCACCTGGCCAAGGGAATCCTCCAGCGTCTCCTACCCAGCCACCCTGTTGGACGGCGGCACTGCCCGTCTGCAGAGCGGGCGTCGGAGAAGCCAAGGCTGTCAGTCCGCTCTGCCCCCAGGAGACGGCCTCGTGGAAAAGCAAGGCCACTGCTTCTTGGCCACATCCCTGGACAGACAGATGCCAAGGTCCTGGGAGCACAGGTCAGGATGGGCAGAGGGGTCTCCGCTCAGCCCCCCGGGGCCCCGGGCTGGCTCAGGGCGGAGCCCAGGCCTCAGTCCTCGGTGTCGGGCTGGACGCCCAGGATGGCATGCAGTTCCTCGGGCGTGAACCCCAGCAAGTTCTGGAGATCGCATACGAAGCGGTACACGTACCGCTTCCCCGACGTCTTATGAATGATGTTTTTGTCGTAATAGTAGCGCAAGCCCCGGCTCAACTTCTCGTAGTTCATCTTGGGTTTGTTTTTCCTCTTTCCCCACCGACGGGCCACCTTGGGGGACACGGGTGGGAGAGGGTTCAAGCTCATCCGGCTAGGAAACAGTAAGCAACACCTGCCCAATTCTCACACGTATGACTTGAGATGCTTGGCCAGCAGGCCTCTAATGGATCTCCTCTAGGTCCCGGCCTCTAGTTTGATCTCTAGGGACCTGCTGGTGTCACTCCTGCACGCCACTGCCTCCCCCCATTCTCGTTCCACGCTAAAACGCACAGCTGCTGGGAGGATCTGAGCCTCATGACATGCTTAGTCTCCAGGGGACCGGGGCGGGGAGAGAGGATGGGGCGGGGAGGGGAGGGGGAGACCATGCCTTGGCCCAGGGCTGCTCCGATGCTGCTTTGGCATGAGGCAGACATCTCCCAGGGCCCAGTGGTCTCTTAGCTTCCCGCCCTCCCGGCCACAGGCTACTGCACGGTTGCATGCCCCCCACGTGTCTGATCTGAAACACTGGGCGATAGATGGTCGGAAGAGGCGTCCAGTTTGCTGCCTCTGCCTTCTGATGTACCACAGCAAGGCAGGAGAGTCCCACATGGCCCCCACCCAGAGCCACCATCTGTGGGCAGCGCCACGGCTCCAGGCCAGCCTGGCACAACCAGGAGGCGCACCCGGCCCTCTCCTGCCCGGAGACTTTGCCCGCTCCAGCCATACCTCGTCGGGGTCAGCCAGCTTGAACTCCCATCCGTCCCCCGTCCAGCTGATGAAGGACTGGCACGACTTGTCGGACAGCAACTCCAGGAGGAACTGCCACAGCTGGATAGGGCCACTCCCTGGGGAGAGGGGACAGACAGGTGTTCCCACACCATCCAACGGGAGCAGTGGGGCCTGAGACACCCCCTCCTCCACCTCCGGCTCCCTCCCCTAGGGCTCTTCAAGCAAAGTTGTAGATCACCAACCCTCTGCACTACTATATACCTCAAACCCTGCTTTCATCTTTCCTGGGTAAGCACCTTGGATGTTTATTTCTAGAGGCTTCCAGTGGGGCAGGTATAAGACAGAATGTGACTGGGCAAAGCGCTGGGTTGGTGGACAGGACATTGGATGCCCAGCGCCTCCTGGGGTGTCCCCATCGTGAGGCTTGAACTCTGGGCCTGGGCGCTGTCCCTCAGCTCTTCAGCTCAAGATGAGCACTCTACCACTTGAGCCACAGCACCACTTCCCGTTTTCTAGTAGTTTATTAGAGATAAGAATCCCACAGACTTTGCTGCCCGGGCTGGCTTTGAACCACAATCCTCAGATCTCAGCCTCCTGAGTAGCTAGGATGACAGGCGTGAGTCACCAGTAACTGGCTACACATACTTTTTTTTTCTTTTAAGAGTCAATTCTTTCCTAATTCTTTTAACGAGTATATTTAGGGCCAAAGTTTGGAAGTTAGGGAATCACTTAAATTCTGGCTGACTAGCAGAGCAGTGGCTTGGCCGGGAGTGCGGGCGAGCGCAGCGTCCACGCCAGGATGTGCGATGGCCTGGGCTGCACTCTCACTGCTACAGAAACACAAAGAAACAAACCGCGGGGCACCTGAGCATGAACAATCCATATTTAAGCGTATCAGGTTTCCTGGATTTGTTCAAGCCAAGTTGAGTTGGCCAGGGTAATGGGCATTCTAGATAGAGTCGGTGGAAGGAGGCCCAGGGGCTAGATACAGGGGGCTGTATCACAAAGCAGAGGGGCGCACACCAGGGGATGAGGAAATCAATACAAGGCTCTGATTTCCAGGAGATACCGCAAGTGTCCACAGCGAGTGCAACACATTTTTAAGAGCGCTTCAGGGGGCCTGAGCTCAGCTCACACTTAACCCCATCCTGCAAATTACGGGTCTCCAGAGGCCTCTTCCAAGGCTTGGAGGCCAGGGCCTCAGGCCTAGATCCTCCAATGCCAAGTGGAGCCTCCTTCTACCCAATGAGCTATCTCCCCTCGAGTGCCAGGGCAGCCAGGGAGAAAGCACAAAGGGCAGGCCGCGTCCCACAAAGAGCCTGGGCCAGGCTCCCCGCCACATGGCGAGCTGCCTGCCTCAGAGACACAACACCCCCACACCAGGGGCTCACACCACCTCCACACCAGGGGCTCACACCACCCCCACGCTGGGGGCTCACACCACCCCCACGCCAGGAGACACAGGCCGCACCTCTCCTCAGCTACTCAGAACTGGCCTCATCCACGGAGGCAACACGGGTGAAAGCGGAAACCTCCACAAGAGCCCCGGGGCTGCCGATTTCCTCACTGGGGCCTTGAACTCCATGTAGGTTTACCCACCCAGCAACTGTTTCAGTACATTTACATGGCTGCTGTTTTTAGACTACAGAAAAAAGAAGGAATGGATGTCCACATATCCACACTCCCTTTTTCTTTTTCTTGGAGGAAGGGTGATACTGGGAATTGAACTCAGAAATTTGCCAGGCAGAAGCGCTACCACGTGAGCCACACCCCCAACGCTTTTTGCCTCAGTGATTAATGAGGTGGGGGTCTTGCTTTATTCGCAGGCCCACCTGGGCTGTGGTCCTCCTACCCCAGCTTCTCCACATACTGGGGGGATAGGCACAACCCTGTGCTCCCCTCCCCTCCGGGATGGGGTAACAGGTGAACACCACCCCACTCAGCCACTGGTTGAGATGGAGTCTTGTCAGCATCTTTTCACCAGGGCTGGCCTCAAATTTCAATCCCCAACCTCTGCTTCCCAAGTAGCTAGGATTCCAGACTTGAGCCTCTGGACCAGCTCACATATTCTCATTTTAAATCTGCGTTTTCTTATGTGCTGCTGGGGATGGAACCCAGGGGCTTGTGCTTGTTCAACAGGCTCTCTACCCTTGAGCATTAAAAAAAAAAAAAGTCCACGGTGGCTTTCTATGATCAGCATATGAAAAAAAGCACATTTAAAATCACAGAGGGAGGTACTAGTAGCTCACACCGTTAACCCTACTACTTAGGAAGGGGAGATCTAAGGATCACTGTTCAAAGCTAGCCTGGCCAGCAAAGTCTGTGAGAATGGTTATCTCCAATTAACCAAAAAGGCCAGAAGTAGAGCCAGTGGCTGGAGCGGTGGAGTGCTAGCTTCAAGCGATAAAGCCGAGAGCATGGGGCCCTGAGTTGAAGCCTAGTACCGTAGCACCTTAAAACAAAAACAAAAGCCACGAGAAGAACTGAACACGTCTTGGTTTTTTCACCCTCGTATGAGAAATATCTGCTTCTAAAAACAGCTTTAATATTTGTCCTCAGCCTAGAAGAGCTCTCATCCAAACGCGAAAAATCAAGAGCCAGGAAAGGCACACCGGGCTGGGACTACGGGAGGCCACCTGAGGGCCCCTCCTCAAGCCAGGCACATTCCTGGAGATCCTGAAGTAGGTGAGGACTGCACTGCGTGAGCGGCTGCCCCGCCCCTTCCCCCGCCCCACAGGACAGGAGGGAGGGGCCCGTGGCTTGCGGCCACTCTGCCCTCTCAGCCCATGAAGATTCCTGCCCAGCTGGCCGTTCTGGAACTCAGGGCTTGTGGGTGTGAACACTACGCTACCCTTGGGAAACACCTGCATCAACACAGCCGTGGCTGGGCAGGACCGGACCCGGAGCCCGCGGGGTGGCCAGTGGCGCTCACTCACCGGTGAAGCCGGCCAGCACGGCGGCGGGGATGACCGGCTTCCCCTGCTCTACAGGGTCACTCCTTTCCTGGATGTAGTCCTTGAAGGACATGGTGGGCTTGCTGAGGCACAGGGACTGGCTGCAGTCATCCTCGAAGCTCTCGAAGGAGGGCACTCGCTGCACGTCCAGCAGGGAGGACTGGCTGTTCCAGGACCGCAGCAGCGAGTCGGAGCTCTCGAAGCTGTCCGCGCCCTTCTCCACAGAGTCCCGCTCTTTGGGTTTCCCTAGGGAAGACAACCCAGCACATCCCATCATTCCTCGGGCCTGGCGTGGGCCACGCCCCACCTTCACCTCTTAGCACCCCAACCGGCCTCTCAAAACACAGGCACCTCTTAACACTCAGGTTCCTATTCTTTAGGACAATTGTGTGTATGTGTGCATCACCTTCCACTCACAGGAGAAAAAGAACACTATGCAGCAATGAAAAAAAAAAAGAACAAATGGCCACAACAGGGCTGAAGACTGCAAAGAGACAGGCCCCAAAGAAATCACTCTGTGTGATTCATCAATAAGTCCCAGAAGAGCAAGAACAAATTCATGATTAGAGACAGACTGTTTCCTCTTGCAGTTGATTGGGACATGCACGTGGATGTTTGTGCATGGTATGGATGTTACATCTCATTCAAAAAAACTTGTCACCTTCCCACGGGGTGTCCAATTATGCCCCACTGTGGAGGAACTCCAGCTTCAAGAAGAGCATGACAGTGTCTTTGCTCGTTCTATGGCTACCATCTGGGACGTGCGTGTGGATTCACCATCTGGTCGGTGGGGAGTTGTGCAGAAGAGACGGGTCCTTGGATGGCCTCCTCCAATGGCTGCGCTCACAACACATTTCTAAGAAACCTGAGTCTGATCTCATCTGTGGTTTGGCCCGGATGAAACAAGGGGTGTCTGCGTCTGCCTACCTGAATTGTTGGGCAGCAAATTCAAGTTGCCACCGGAGTAGTCCTGAGAGACAGCGCAGTAGCTGACATTGACGGCACTGAGCCTCGACTTGGGAAACATCTGGAAGTCCTGGTCAGAGCCAAGGGTGGTGGGAGCTGCGGAGGACAGGCCCATGCTGTCCAGGAGGCCGCCCTTGGGGTAGCTCGGCGTCTGCATTCCATACGGAGTCTGCTCCACACCAAAGCCTGCGACCGAACCACCGGATGGGGGTGCTGTTAATGTCACACACATCCCACCCTGTGGCACACCGCTGGACCCTTCCACAACTGCCTCAGACACAAGGTTCAGAGCACATTGACCGCTTCCTGCATCCCTGTACCCGTCTCCTTCACCTGTCTTACTGATGGATGCCCACAGGCCAGGCAGAGCTCACTTCTACCTGTGCCTCATTCTATAAAGTCCCTAGAGCAGCACTGAGCAATGGAGACAAAGTTTCATTCTATTCACATTTCCCAGCAGATATATTTAAAAAGTAAGAAGCAGGCTGGGAAGGTGGCTCAGTGGTAGAGCGCTTGCCTTGCATGCATAAGGCCCTGGGTTTGACTCCTCAGCACCACATAAGCAAAAAGAAAAAAAGCCAGAAATGGCGCTGTGGCTCAGGTGGTAGAGCGCTAGCCTTGAGCTGAAGAGCTGAGGGACAGCGCCCAGGCCCAGAGTTCAGGCCGCACAACCGGACCCAAAAAAAAAAAAAAAAAAAGTAAGAAGCAAGGAGCAGGGGATGTTAACTGTGTCTTCCAACTGAACGAATTGGCCAGCTCCACTTCCTTATGTGGCCAATAGGTCCTAACCCGTCGAGTTTACTGTACAGCTTGGTTCTGTGCTCAGACCTACCAGTGACCGCTGGGTCTGGTCACACCTCTCTGAGGGGACCAGGCACGGTCCAAAATGCTCACTTCTCACCACTGTACAGCACATGGTTTGGCTGCCCTGTGGGGCTCCATTAAAGTTCAAGTCCAGAACCTGGTGCTGGTGGCTCACACCTGTAATTCTAGCTACTCAGCAGACTGAGATCTAAGGATCGTGGTTCAAAGCCAGCCTGAGCTACAAAGTCTGTGAGACTCTCTCCCACTCACAAACCACCCAAGAGCCAGAAAGGGAGGCATGGCTCATGTGGTAGAGCACTAGCTTTAAGTGAAAAGGCTCACTAAGAGTGTGAGGCTCTGGGTTCAACCCTCAATACTGATACACACCTACGCACACACGTGTACAACTTCAAGTTCCCCGGGAGGGCTAAAAACTGAGTTTCTGGAGCATCATGGCGCAGACTTACCAAGGGAATTGCTGTTGATCCAGTGGGGGACGGAGTGGAGGTGTGCGTTCTCTTCATACTGTTCCTCCGTCTTTTCCTGGTTTTCTGAAAAGCAGACACAGGAGTCACCAGATGTCAGCTCCACAAGACAAGAAAAGCACCCGCCCCTTTCCAAACTACTGCAGCTGGGTGTGCTAGGATGACCAGATGCATCCGGAGGCCCCCATTTATTTTACCCGATGGCACCCCCAACTCCTCAGGTGTCTTTAGACAAACAAGGAACAGCTGCCCCCTTTTCCAGTAAGTGTTCCAAAGTTAGTGACCTCATTGGCAAAGTGACGTTTCCTAGCTAGTGCAAAACTCTATGGATGCAGATTATGTGTTTTAACATACTCCTATGTTTAAGAAACCGTGACACACTTATGCAGGTTAAGTCCTGAGGGGAGCGGAGACGGATATTTTAACTAAATGAACACAGCTCTGCGCCGAGCCTTACAGTCCACAGCTCCAACCCTGCAAGCTTCCCGGGCAAGTGGAGTCCAGAGCGGCTATAGTGGGACATGGGTGGGCGGAGCTTCAAGGGGGAAACATCCACAGGGTGTGCGTCACCACGGGGAACCAACGGAGACCTGTCCCAGCTGACAGAAAATCTCAGGGGCTCTCATCAAGGTTCCCTGGTCCTCAAAGCTGTCACCAAAAGCTGGGGGCTGAATCCCACAGGTCTCTGAGATTCTGAGTCTACAGTGAATGTTTAAACTCAATGTGTTTAAAATCCATTGAGAAATGTTTTCACCAAGTCAACAAATAAACATTCTCTATTATTTATATATATTCCCTCTCTCTATATATTCTCTCTAGGGAATGAATATGTGTGTGTGTGTGTGTATATATGTATACACACACACGTATATATATGTGTGTGTGTGTATACATCTTTTTTTTCTGGGTTTTTTTTTTTTTTGGTCAGTTGTGGGGTCTGAACTCTGGGCCTGGGCACTGTTCCTCAGCTCTTCAGCTCAAGGCTAGCGCTCTACCACTTGAGCCACAGCGCCACTTACGGCTTTTTTTTTCTTTTTTGCTTATGTGGTGCTGAGGAATTGAACCCAGGGCCTCATGCATGCAAGGCAAGCGCTCTACCACTGAGCCACCTTCTAGCCCCTCTTTTTCCTTCTTAAACTCAGCATTATTGAACACTGGTCTCCCCACTTTGTAGGTTCTGAGTAGGTACAATGTTTGCTGATCTACAGGAGGTTTCTGTACCAGTGTATGCATCTGTGTGTATGTCTCAACCATTTTTTCACGGTTTTTGCTTGGCTTTTCCACTCAAGTTTGGTGTTCTACCACCTGAGCCACAGCTGCACTTCCAGCTTTTGGCTGGCTAGAAATAGAATCTCATAGACTTTCCAAATCTCTATCCTCAGATCTCACTGAGTAGCCAGGATGACATGCATGAGTACCGGTACCCAATTACTACATTTTACATTATCTCCAACTCCTCTCCCAAATTCTCTGTTGGATTCTCTCTGGCCATGGGGTAACCGCTGTGAAAGAGGTAATCAGCACAGGCTCCTTTCATGGGGCCACCTTCTCCTCCAGCCTGCTGAGGTAAACACACCTGCCCTGGCCTACATATCTGAGTTGCCTGGGTTGCGGTGTGACCAGAGCAGTTTGGCAACAGTGAGTAATTTAGTGACTAAAGCTACAGGTGGCCACAGGGCCTCAGCTGTAGTCCGCACACACCCAGAGAGGAACACACCCCCATGCAGTCCCCACCGGGGTCGGACTTGCATCACTGATAATGGTGACCTCTGGGTTGATAGACTCTGCCCTGTGCCCCCCACCCCTGCCAGGCTCCCCTTGGGGGGGGGGGGGGGCGCTCAGTCACTCAGGTCGCATCTCCCCAGTCAGTACCTTTGAGCATCTGTTCCAGATGTTCCCACAGGATGTCACCCACAAAATCGGGCGCCAGCTCTAGAAATCGCTCCTTGCCGAGGTTGCACAGGGCCTGGCCGTTCATGCCGAACCTCTGCAAGTTCACATTCACCAGGCTGAACTCATTGGTCGCCCAGAGCAGCCACTGGCTCACCTGCTGCTCACTCCACAGCCAGGGGTCTACAGGGAGGGTGACAAGAGGCGTGAGTGAAGCGGGTGAGTGACAGTGAGACCACAGTGACCTCCCGTCCGTCCCCAGGCCCGGCTACGGCCCGGAGCCTGTGAGATGTGGGGTGCCACAGCCGGGCACTGTCAGGAGGCCCATGAGGCGTCTTCCCTGGAGAGTCCAGGGTGCCGGTTGTGTGGCTGGCTGGGCTGACATGTCCATGGCCCAGGGCCACCCCACTACAGTTGATGCTGGACAGAAGACCTTACCCTGCAGCTGCCGGCACCCTGGGATGGCAGCCCGGGACCCCCAGCAGGCTTGGGGCCTCACTTACTCTTGGGAATGCCAAGTCTCCGCTGCTCCTTCTGGAAGCCACTGAAGGTGGCCTTCAGGGCCTGGCTCATCACAGCCTTGCTGCATGGGGTGAGCAAGGGCAGCTCGCAGCTGGCAGCGTCTACAATGAAACCCAAAAATAGGGTTAAAATTCCAAACGGGGCACCCTGGGGCAGGGATTTCAGGAGTCCAGCTGTATACAATACTGACAACAATTCCTATCTTGATTCCTTAGAAAGCATGCCAACCTGGGGCTGGAGGCATGGCTCAAGCAGCAAAGCAGCAGTCTTGCCAGGAAGCACAAGGACCTGGGTTCTATTCTCAGTAATGCCAAAACAGATACAACAAAATCTTTTTTTGTGTGTGTGCACATGTGTTGGTACTGGGGCTCGAACTTTGGGCCTCTTGCTCTCACTACCTTTTTTGCTTCATAGCTCCACTTCCAGCTTTTTGTTAGTAACTAGATTTAAGAGTTCTCATGAGGGGCTGGGAAGGTGGCTCCGGGGCTGGGAAGGGGCTCAGTGGTAGAGTGCTTGCCTTGCATGCATGAGGCCCTGGGTTCAATTCCTCAGCACCACATAAGCAGAAAAAAAGGCTGGAAGTGGTGCTGTGGCTCAAGTGGTAGAGTGCTAGCCTTGAGCTGAAGAGCTGAGGGACAGCACCCAGGCCCAGAGTTCAGGCACCATGACTGGCAAAAAACAAAACAAAACAGAAAAAAAAAAGAGTTCTCATGATCTTTCCTGCCATAGCTGGCTTTGAATCTCGATCCTTAGATCTCAGCCTGCTGAGTAGCTAGGATTATAGGTGTAAGCCACCAGTGCCCAGTTAACACAAAACCTTTCTTTTAAGGTGGTAGAGCACTTGTCAAGCAAGGAAGAGATTCTGGGTTCCATTCCTAGCAATGCTAGGAGAAAAAGTGTACAAGTTTGTATGTGAACAAAAAGTTACACATCTCAGAAACTACATTTACAAGTAAAATCTTAAAAAAAAAAAAAAAAATCAAGCTCAATCCTATTTTGCAGTAAAATTTGGCAAGTAAAATTTCTAGCTGAGTTGATTTGAAATGTTTACCCAGTGAAGGGTATGGCTAAAGGTAAAAGGACCAATAGTTCTACCAATCAAAGCCAGCCAGGCCGAGGGGCCTGGGCCTGACCTGGGCAGGCAGTACTTGACAAAGCACACTTTAGTTTTTACTGGAAAAAAAGAAAGAAAGAAAGAAAATCTTTTCTGGCCAGGCGCTGGTGGCTTACGCCTGTAATCCTAGCTACTCAGGAGGCTGGGATCTGAAGATCATGGTTCAAAGCCAGCCTGGACAGGAGAGTCCGTGAGACTCTTATCTCCAATAAACCACTAGAAAACCGGAAGTGGCGCTATGGCTCAAGCGGTAGAGCACTTGCCTTGAGCTGAAGAGGGCAGGGACAGCACCCAAGGCCAGAGTTCAAGCCCCACGACGGACCAAAAAAAAACCAAACAAGCAAAAAAAAAAAACGTCTCTGGAAACTCTGAAAAACTTCAAGCGAGATAAATGGCTGAAGTCAGACACCAGGGGCTCATGCCTAGAGCCCGAGCTACTCAGGAAGCTGAGATCTAAGGATCACAGCTCCTAGTTGGCCCAGACAGCAAAGTCAGAGAGACACTTATCTCCATTAACTACCAAAAAGCCCAAAGTGGACGTTCAAGTGGTACAGCATTAGCCTTGAGTGGCAAAAGCTAACGGATAGACAGCGCCCAGGCCCTGAGTTCAAGCCCCAGCCCAGAAAAATAAACAAGTAAAAAAAAAGTGTGCGATGCCACAATATAGAAGCCTACAAGCTGTTGTCAAGTCATCTCTGAACAGTGCCAGTAGTAACGTTATGCCAGGAACTGTGAGGACCTTACCTGACAGCCTACACCGTTAAAAAGAGCAAAGCTGCGTATGTGCTGAGAGCCATAGAAACAGCCACAAGTGACAAGTGTAGTCTGTTACAGTTATTGCGTATGTCAGGGTGCGCGCACATGTGTGTGTGATTTCACTCATCACATGAGCTCAGGATGCAAAGCCGAGGTGCATATTAATTCCCATTGTCTTATGTTGGTTTTGCACAGCCCTCTGGGGTGACAGGAAGTGCAAAAAGCCACTGCGGGGGCCAGGTGCCCTCCTGCCACGTGCAGGGTCTCCAGAGACCCCAAGAACACAGCCAGCCCCAGAGCGTCTATGGGAGTTTTCATTCCCAAGATACAGGGCATCGCTACTCAGGGCTGACCACCTCTGCCCTCCACCGTGTCTATGGAATAGATTACCGTGGGAGATGGAGTCCAAGCCCGTGGGCACTTCTTGGAGTGTCTGCTCTTCACTGAGAGAGGGGAACACCGAGAACAGAGAGCCATCAAAGGTGTCAAATGCCGGCTGGCGCTGCAAATACAGAGGGGAAAACAACAGGGACTCATTAGGCTCCTATTTAAAAAGTGGCCAAAGGGATCAGCTGACCACCAACTCAACCGGATATAAACAGGGGCAATTACCACATCCAGAATTAACCACTTTGTACTGGAGAGAGAATTCCTAAAGCCAAAGTGATCACCCCCAATTATTTAATTAACCTCGTGGGGTCAGAACGGCTGCCAGTTACTTGGGGTCACTTAATCAACCTAAATAAAATGAATCTAAAAATAACCGGACCATAGGACCAGGCTGGGAAGCAAGTGAGACAGCCATGACAGCTTTCCCCACCTCTTGTAGAACAGGCGCAAAGCTCTGTGTCTGGGCAGGCAGGCAAGAACCATAACCCTTCACAGTGCTGGGGTTTGGGGGTCAGACTGGGGCTTGAACTCAGGGCTTCATGTGGTTCAAAACCAGACCAGGCAGGGAAGTCCATGGAAGACTCTCATCTTACAATGAACCCCCCCAAAGCCTCAAATTAAGGTGTGGCTCAAGTGATAAAGAGAAGCCCTAGATCATGCGCTGGAGGGTAAGACTTCCAAAAGAAATAGGCTGTATGGTAAGCTGTCTACAGGACAGGGACACACTTCAAGGTGACTGCTGACAATCTACACATCATGTATGAAAATCTAGCTGTCATCGGAAGACACACTGAAAAAGATGACTTTTGGATCCGTCACTTTCTGACGGGCTTAGGAAAATGTGAAGAAAAATCTCCTTTTCCCAATACAATATACCCTGGAAATCCCTGCTATGTGTAATACAGTGACCCATCTGTTGAGTCATGGGTAAATAAATGTGTAACACATTTACAAATAAAATAGGTTGTGCCCTTTCTTTTTAGAAATGCGGAAGGGGTGAATGACACATTACGAAAGAAGCCAGGCAAAGTCTGAGCCCAGACCCTTCCCGGGCTCCCCCTGCTACCTCCTCTCCCCCCTGCAAGAACCCCAGGAATTCTGAGATCCTGGTGCAGCCAACCAAATACCCATTGGAGATGGAGGACTTCGGAGCTAATTTTGGTATAACAGCTAATAGACGCTTAAAAAAAAAAAAAAATCCCACCAGCATTGTCCAGAGACCAGGAAGTGTCTTTCCGGATTCAAGTTCTTTTTTTAAAATCAGGAAGCCCAAGAACAATACAAAGTATTTCAACACAGGACTCTCTCTTCTTGGATCCAGAAATTGTGAAAAGCATCACCAAATTCCTTCAGTTCACAGAAGACTCTTTCAGAGGTGAGATGTTAATGTAAGAACCACCTCTTCCCACCACACTTAAAACACCCAGCCTCATCAAACCAGAAATCTCATGGACCTTCAAGATCTTGACAGATCACACAAATAATCCCAAGGGATCATGAAGGAAGCTAGGGCACACACCAGAAGAGTATTAATGTCATACAAGACACACACACCTGGTCACAGTTTCGGAGACAGCCCAGTTCTGTTGTCCTGTCCAGAAGGCAAGCAAGGAAACAGGTCCCCATAGGAACAGGGACCTCAGGGGAGTAGGCTCTTTGATCTCTTAATCTGGTCTTTGATTTGCATAAACAGGCTGGCTACAGGACTGTGCCAGGAAGGGCAGGCTGTGGACAGCCCAGGGGCATTCCCAATAATGACCAGAACAGCCAGGCTGCATCTTCTAAAAGCTTGCATCTCGATCCCTAACCAGCCTCTCAAACTCCGGAGTGGGTGGGAGGTGCTAGGAGCAGCATCTTATTGACAATCACAGGATTGTTTTTTCCTTCCTCACCGGGAAGGAGCCTCAGAAATACACCACAAAGGCCTCCCTGTCTCCAACCAGTTTCCTCTCTGGACATGGACAAGCACCAGCACACCCATTTCACAGAACTGCAAGCTAAGTCCCAGGGAGGAAGCAGACAGCCCCGTCAGTCAGTACGCTGAAAAGCTGAGGCTAGAACTAGCATTCTGAACCCCAGCCTAACTTTATTCTCCTCTTAGAGGTGAACTTTTGTGAAGACTGGCTCACTCACCTTGAGTGTACCCCGAAAACCGTTAGCTACAGGGGCCACTTGGTCCATGTTCTTGAGTCCAAAGTCATTCATCTTGAAAAAGAAAAAAAAGAAGAGTCAAAGAGGCCCCAGGTATCTACACATATGGGTATCTACACATACATTTTGAGAAGATACAGATACATGTACTTTTGTTTGTTTTCCGGTAGTGCTGGGGTTTGAACTCAAGAGTCTTGCACTAAGCAGGTGCCCTACCGCTTGAACCTTGCCCCCAGCCCTTACAGCACATTATAAAGAAGTCACTATTGGTGGCCATGAGGCTTGACTCTGGGGAGTTCTAACTAAGGTAACAGGTAATGTACCCTGTCCACAGGCAAGTTTTCTTCCTTAGAAGGCTTTCCTCCCAGGGTGGTATTGAAATAATAGCTCTGATCGCCTCTGAATTCCAATTAGTCGGGAGCCTTCTAAGGGTCTAAGTACCCTTCTGGCTGGCTGGTCGGCCCCTGAGCAGGGGACTGCCTCTGCTTTCCAGGGACTTTTCCAGGATCAGCTGTGGTAAGGGATGGAGTGGAGCCAGTGGAGTAGTGGGCCCTACAGAGGGTCCTTGTCCTTGGCAGCAGCCATAGGACCCAGATTGGGAAAGCCTGCCAGAAGGGGTCACAGAAGACCTTCCCCCCTCCTGCTCATTCCTCACCAAGGTGTAAGGGACTCCCCTCCAGACCTCCTGCTCTGAGCAGTATCTGACTTGGGGTCTCTCCGTTGTGCACTTCTTCAGAGGAAGTGAATGCAAGTGTGGCCAGGCCTTGCTTGCCTTCACAGTCTGGTCTTACTCCAGACCCCTGCCGACCAAGATGGTAGCTGCCTGACTGGAGACTTTGACAGGACTGGTGTGAGCTGAGATCGGCAAGGATGGATATATAGGGGATCTCGCAGATTTAGCAGAAAAAAAGGAAACCGTCGTAGGTGGTAATGTATCTCCCTACTGTGTGCCTCCATGGTAGTTTTGGAGATGTTATGTTAATGGAAGTATAATGGAATCAGTTTCACCTGCTGTCCTGTTTTTCCAATGACCACTAGGAAAGTTTAAACCAGGGTTGAACTATAAACCACAGCTTTGCAAACAAGACTTCCTTGGAGGTCATCAGATGTAATTGCTTGACCATGCAAGTTACACACTCAGGAGTAAAAAAAGGGGGCACCTGGAGACTATCGCCAGAGGGCAAAATAACAGACAACTTTACCTTCCTGGGTACCCACCCTCTGGCTGTCCAGGCCTTAGACCCCACTGGAGGTATTGTACATTCTTGGGGAATGACTTAAGTGTTCAGCTTTTTCGTGTTCTCTGGACGGTCAATATGATGGCTCAACCAACAGTATCTAACACACACTTGCCCAGAACAGCTTGCACACTAGAGTGTGTGTGCACACACGTACACGCACACACACACAAGCACACCTTGACTAAGAAGGCCACAGGGACAGTCGGAGGCACTGAAGAGGACTGTTGGAGTTCAGAGTTTCATGGAAAGGTCACAGTGACCCACCCTCAGGGGCTGAGGCACATTCTAAGAAGCATTCATCCTGGAGGGGTGAGGGTGTGTGTGGGGGGAATGGGCACAGGCCATCGACTCAAAAGTGACCACATATGCTCAGAATCAACACTCGGTGCAGGACGCCACTCCCTGATGGTGGCCATGACAACACGCCTGGTCCGCAGGACTAAGGCTGCCATGGTAGAGGGCAGGGAATACCACACCTCAGCCTCCCTGCATTCCTCATGGAAAGGTTCATACCACCTCCCAGTGAGGCACTGGCCTGGGACCACACAGCTATCGTGGGGCCACTGCAGGGCTGAGTGGGGACCAGATCCCAGGGGAGAGCACGTGGTCTTAGTGGTCTTGAGTCCTATGCCCCGGATGAGGAGGACCTGCTCTGACCCCCTCACAGCCTGGGGAGAGTACAACACACATCCTACTAGACCAGGCCCTCCTCTCTCGTCTAGCAGGAGAAATGTGCTCCACTTAGAGCCTCATGTCATCAGCAGATAAAGTTGGCCCTGCCTGCTACCTGTGGGTGAAACCAAAGCCACCAGCAGAAAACTACAGGACAGACCCTGGAGGGCTCCTGTCCTCCGTGTGGCACCTGATGAAACGGCATTTCCTCGGCCTTCGCGCAGAGGCTGGCTGGCAGACGTCTGGCTTCCCAGCCCCAACCCCCCAGCTTCTGGGATGGGCCCAGGATCGAGTGGAAGGCTGGGGAAGAGCTTAGCTGCCTTTTGTGTACAAACACCAGGAGAAAAGGCAGCTCACCACGCCCACATAAAGAGCTGTAATTAGCAGCTACAGAATAGAATTCTTTTGTTGTCCGGCTTTTAATGAGTTTCCTAAAAAACGTGTAGAATTAAAGTGCTGGGCTAAATGGGTTTCAGGAATGCTCTCTCTCTCTCTCTCTCTCTCTCTCTCTCTCACACACACACACACACACACACACACACACACACACACACACACACACACACACACACACACACACACACACACACACACACACACACACAGCTAATCAAATCTCAGTTCCCTTATTCTACTCAATCTGCTAGCATGGGGTGGGGGATTGCGTTCGTCTACATAAATTACTATCAGGCTTAGATCTTCAGATGCTGTAGGACGGATCCTCTCTCTCTCTCTCTCTCTCTCTCACACACACACACACACACACACACACACAGCTAATCAAATCTCAGTTCCCTTATTCTACTCAATCTGCTAGCATGGGGTGGGGGATTGCGTTCGTCTACATAAATTACTATCAGGCTTAGATCTTCAGATGCTGTAGGACGGATCCTAACTTTAGAACAACAAAAAAGAAGCAAAGAAAAGAGGAAGGGAAAAGGGAAGGAAGAGATGGAGGAAGAAAGGGAGGGATGTGATGAGGGAGGAAGGAAGGGAAGGAAGGAATGGAGGAGAAAGGAAGGAAGGAAGGGAGGGAGGGAGGGAAGGAAGGAGAGAAGGAATAGGGGAGTAGGGAAGGAAGGAAGGAGGGAAGGAAGAAGGAAGGAGGGAGGGAATGAGGGGAGTAGGGAAGGAAGGAGGGAAGGTGGAAAGGAAGGAGGGAAGGAAGGAAAGAGGGAAGGAGGGAGGGACAGGCCTAAGAGCTGAGAACGGAGAAACAGCTATTGGGCGAGTGATCACTTATGTAAGATAAGAACCCAGGTTCGTCTCGGTTTTCTAGGGGGAGGGTGGGGAGGAAAAGAAAACCTGGGAGGGCTCTGGGAGGTGGTTGGCTTTCCCTGTGAAAGCCGTCGGTTCGGGGGTGAGTGGCCGGCCCCGGAGCGGGCTTCGCGGCCTCCCCGCAGGCCGGCGCCGCGGGCTCACTCGGGACTCGGATCCCGGCACGGCTGGCGGGGTGCGGGCCGGCGGGGGCCCGCGGGCCGGCGGGAGCCCGCGGCGGGGAGCGCGCAGCCCCTCGCGGCGCGGGCCGGCGAGCGCCCGGCTCTCGGAGGCGGCACAACTCACTCCTCACTTTCCAAACCAGCAGCGAGCCACCCCGAACGCGGTCCTGACCAACACCGGCCTCGGGCGCTCAACACACCCCCAAACTCCACCGAAAGCCAGACGGTCGACATAAAGACACAGCCCAACGCCGGCGCGCCACGCGCCCCAACATCCACACGCGGGACCCAAGGACGCAAGACGAAGCCAGCCCGGCCGCTCGCTCCTACTTGGGAGCCGCCGGGGGGGGGGGGGGGACCGGGCCTCGACCCCGGGTCCCCGGCGGCCCAGCAGGTGCCGCGTCCGTCCACAACCCGCCGTCCCCCCCACGCCCCCGCTCTCGGGGGAGATCCGGCCCGCGGGGCGCGCCCCGGGCAGGACCCCGCAAGGCCCCCCGGAAAGGCCCGGACCTCCTTCCCCAAACAAAAGCCGGCGAACCCGCCCGCGCCCCGGCCTCCAGCGCCCCGAGACCACTCGGGAGTCCGGGAAACGAGTCCGATCGCAGCCCGGACGCGCGACCCTCGGGGCCGCCTCCTCGGCCCGACTCGGGCCTGGATCTCGGGGGGCGGAGGGGGCCCCCAGCCCGGCCCTGCGGGGGTCCTCCTCCCCACCTCCCCCGGGGAGAGAGCCGCTCTTACCGCGCCGCTGCCGGCAGGGCCGGACCGGAGGGCGGTGGCTGCTGGGGTCCGGGCCGAGCGGGGCGCGCGCGCGGGCGGCGCTCGGGGCTGGCGCTGGGCTCGGGCGCGGCGGCGGGGATCGGCGCGGCGGCGGAGGAAGAACCGGCCGGGCCTCGCAGCGCGCTCTTCTGGAGCAGAGTGGAGCGGGGGAGGCGGGAGGGGACGGCGCGGGGCGGGCGCGGGGGGCGGAGGGAGGGGCGGGGAGACGGCGAAGGGGCGGGCGGGGGAGGGGAGCCGGAGGCCGGCGAGCCGAGGCGGCCTCCTTCCGGCCCGGACCTCCCTCCGCCCCGCGCCCCCAGCCGGCCCTGGGGACGCCGCCCGGACCCCCGGGGCCCCGCGCCTCCCACCCAGCCGGGGCCCGAGGCGAGGACCCCGGACTCGGCCGGGCGAAGCGGCGGCGCCGGCGCGAGGCGCGGCCTGTTCCCCGCGGCGCGGCCCTGGCTCCGGCTCCGAGCCGCGCAGGTTGTGAAATCTGCGCAGGTTCCGAGCCGGCACCGGGGCCCAGGCCCGGCGCCGACACCGCCCCGGCGCCGAGCAGCCCGGCCGGGCTCTGGCGGCCGGCGCCTTTCTTTCCACTCTGCTTAGGAGGGAATCGAACCTCAACAGACCACCCCCCAGGCCCCGAGGCGAGGAATTCGGGGGCTTCTGCCCCCCCAGCCAACAGGCTGTTCTCTAGTTCGGTGCGTCTCCCGGCCAGGCCCGGCTCGGAAAGTTTAGATTCCTGTGCGCGCGCCACGGAGGCCCCGCGCGCGCGCGCGAGCCGGGGGCCAGGGACCCGGCACCGGGAGCCGGGTCGGGCCGGGCCGTCTCCAGGACCCTCCGTCGTCCCGGACAGGGAAGAAGGGTCAGCTTCCCTGGGACGCTGGGCTCGCGGTTGCCATGGTAACGTGGGATTGGGGGGGGGGGGGTTGAGGTGGCTGTGGCTAATGGAGATCCTGTGGCCTGTCACTATGCTCATGGGGTACCCCGGTTCCCCGGGTGGAGGCACAGCCCACCTGGCCAAATCCACGCGGTGGAGGCGGGGAGGCAGTGAGGTTGAGTGGATAGTCAGTCCCTGGAGACTGGATGGATGCGTGCGGCTTCTCAGATCGGAGAACAAGGGTCAAGAAGTCGCTCCGTAAATGGAATACAGATCCAGAGTACGTTGCCATGGAGACACAGAGCGTAGCTTACTTCTTTTTTAAAAAATCATAGCAGAAAGTATTGACTCTGTCTGGACTGTTAGGTTCACTTCCTACAGCCCCTTCCCCACTCCCACACCCTGGGCCTGGGCTGAGGAGCTTGTGAGAGAACCAGGCATCGCCAAGCAGGGCTGTAGACTCCCATCATATTTGGCCTCTTAAGTCGCTTGGAGGCTCAGGTCCCTGCGCATTCCCCCCGCCCCCCCATGTAACGTCCTCACAGGGGTGGCACCGGCTGGTGTCATGCTGAGCTGTTTCTAGCATAGATAAGCAGAAAGAGAGAAGGGAGCCATAGTTGATGAGCTGGAAGACAGGGGTCTTCCCTCTGCTCTGGCCAAAGGCCTCCTTAGAGAGAATTAATGGAATCGGTATCATGAGACTTTGGTTAGGCAGACACTGCAGGTGTGTGAAGAGTTTTTCGGCAAGCTGGAGCATATAGAAGTAAGAATTATATATGAATAGTTTCTTTCCCAAGTTCTTGGAGTGTGTGTGTGTGTGTGTGTGCTAGTACTGGTATTAGGGCTTGAGCTTGACCTCAAGCTCATACTTGGCTTTTTCCCCCAAGGTTAGTGCTCTACTACCACTTGAGCCACACCTACTCTTCCAGCTTTTTGCCAATTAATTGGATATAAAGAGTGTCACAGACTTTTCTACCTGGACTGGTTATGAACTGAGATTCTTAGATTTCAACCTCGTGAATAGCTAGGATTGCAGGCTTGAGCCACCCGTGCCTGGCTTATCTGATAGTAGTTTTTGAACAACTTTGGACAAACTGTCAGATTCTTCAAAACAAAACACCTCCTCTGACATCTGAATGACACTGTGAAACATGAAAGCAGTTAGAAGCTTCCAGGGACAGAACTAGCTTCCAGAGGCCTCTCCAAGGCCTCTCCTGTTGGCCAGGAGCACCCACAAGCCTGGACTCTCAACCCACATTCCCCACCCCCACCCCCTTTGTCCTCCCAATTCCATTCTCCAGGAGGAGGCCCTGGGCTCAACCCAGCAGCCCTGGCCTGGTCCTGTCCGTGGCCCACTCACCCCTGCTGGACCATTGTTTTCTTGGCACAACATGACATGACTGTTCTTGGTTCTGGGGCAACATTAGGGTTTCTTACATTTTTGTCCTTCCTGTTATTAGTTGGTTTCCTAGTTACTCAGCAGAATTAAAACCCAGCCTGGCTAACGCTTGTGATTATTCATTGACTATTATGGCTCAATTCACAGGGCGCACAAGGCCTTATGGTAAATTAAACCTCATAAAAAGTGCGATCCTTCTGCTCCCAGAGCAAAAGTCAGTGGTGCAAGAGGAAATTGGTAGTCAGAAGACATGCTGGGCGAAGGGATCAGAGGAGCCACAGAGTGAGGAAGGCTCGAACTCTTCACAGCGAGGGTGCTCCAGGAAGAGGACCTTGTAAGAAGTACTGGACCCTTGGAGAAAGTGCAGAGTTCTTAGCAAAATCATTAACTTGCTAAGTCATCCTTTTACAAAACAGCACAAATAAATCTCCTCTACATCCCCTCTGTGTTGACCCTGAGATGTACTTCAGCATTCACACTCAATTTTCACGCTTCCCAGATGCTGGGTGAACTCACATCACTCAGTCTGAGGTGTGTCAGTTATTCGTTTGGCAAACACCATGTCAGATACTCAGAGGACAGAGATGAGTGGAAGGTTTGGTGGCGCCTGCCCTTGGAGAGGTGAAAATGAAGTGTACAGTGTTGGAAGAATCTCCCATGGTGGGACTTTGGGGAGAAGAGGCGGGGATGGGAGCAGAAATGTACTTACAAGTAGAAATAAGTTACTTCATGGGTAATGAGGCCGTGCCTGATGACAGAGGTACGTGTTGGGGGTGGGGACGGATGGACAAGGAAAAGATAAAGTCAGCTTCCTAATCCGTCATTTCCCCTACCACCAAACTCATCCAGTGCCAGGAATACCGGGCACAGGTAGGGTCAGCCAGAAACTTTCCAAGTGGGTGGTTTGACCATTTCGGAGCAAACAGGGTTGTTTTTGCTTTTTATTTTGGGGGTCGGTGCTGGAACTTCAGTTCAGGGCCTGGGCACATCCCTGAAGCCTTTTCACCTAAGCCACTCCACCTCTGGCTTTTTGGTGATTAATTGGAGGTAAGGGTTTCATGGACTTTCCTGACCGAGCCGGCTTTGAACCTCAGTCCTCAGATGGCAGTCTTCCGAGTAGCTGAGTATCCCAGGCCTGCTCTTTGCTTTAAGACCCTCCAGCAGCAAATGGCATCTAAACCCTGGGGCTGGAAACCTTTTCCTCCTCCTGGATCATTTTGTTTGCTTGTGGCAGTCTCTTGAGCCCCTTGGGTGGCCTGGAGCGTGGAGACAGATCACTAGATAGCCTATTCTCCCAAACTGTGCAGGCAGCCTGCTGGGTCCAAAGCCCTGGGGTCAGCCCAACTCAGCTGCCCACTGGCTGTCCAGCTGTGGGCCTGGAGCAAGTTACTGACCCACTCCAGCCTCCTTTCCACCTCAGTCAGTTGGAGCACGTCTGACACATAGTGAAGTCTTAAGTGTGTTATAAGTAGCAGCGGTCCAGGGCTCTGGGAAGGCTCTGCTCTGCCTCCCTGAGTCACTCACAGTCAGAGGCGGGCTCCCAGCCGTGAGGGAGGTCAAGGCAAAGCTGTCAGTTGCAGTGTGCGTTTCTCTGGCTTAATTCTCTTGCCTTTGGTGATCAGAAATCCAGGGAATGAAACCTTGGTGATTGGAAAACTAGGAACCTGTGTGTACAGAGTTGGCAAATGAGGCTTGGCAATTGTTCTAGATGTAGAAACTGAGGCCTGAGGATGATTACTTTCTCGCCCAGGGGGTGATGTGGCTGTTTCCTGGTGGGGTTGGGCCGCTCCTGGCCCGCTACGCCAGATACAACACACTGCTGCCCAACCCTTATAAGGCAGTATTCCTGAGGTACGTCACCCACTTTGGGAAGTCACCGTGGTATTAACCTGCATGGTGACGTGCCTCAGGCATGTCTGGACAGCAGAGACTGAGCGCGACCTGTGACGTCCCGTAAAATGGATAATCCCTAAATAAATGTGTCTGCATTGAGTCAGACCTGTGCAGATGCATGATTTGGGGGCTGTGCACTTGTGTGTGTGTGTGTGTGTGTGTGTGTGTGTGTGTGTGTGTGTGTGTGTGTGTGTGTGTGTGTGTGTGTGAATTGCAAATGTGTTTGGAACTAAAGAATGCTCAGATGCCTCGCTACTCAGGGGGCAGAGATCTGAGGATCACCGTTCGAAGCCAGCCCAGGCAGGAAAGACCACGAGACTCTTCTCTACAGTTAACAAGCAAAAAAAAAAAAAAAAAAAAAGCTGGACAGGGAGGAGCTGTGGCTCAAGTAGCAGAGCCTATCCTGGAGCACAAAAACTGAAGGGACAGAGCCCTGAGTTCAAGCTCTGGTACAGTACAAAAAAAGAAAAATGAATGTTGACTTAACTCGGTGGAGGGAAAGCTTTTCTAATGGCTGCAGGACCTTTCTTCCACTGCCCCTCGCACACATGACTCTGAGTGTGTCCTCTTGTTAGCAGCTGGTTCTTGGTGTGCTGTGCTTCACCGCCCCGGCGTTTTATCTTTGCTCTGAACGTCAAGCCTCACCACCTCAAACACAACCTTTGGTGTAGGCTGAGCGGTAGGAAGATGGCCACCCTTCACTCTACCTGGAGGGAGATATCCACCGGCCCTCATTTTCTGGAAGGTTCTCTTGCAAAGCATCAAAATCCACTTTAATTCTCTGTTGCCATCTTGGAATTCATGATGAGTTTAGAACAAGAGGCCCAATTGTCATTTTCACTGGGCTTCAAAACAGACCTGAGGGGACATTTCCCCAGGTTTCAGGAGCCAAGAGGCACCTTGTCACCACCAGCCAGAGGGAGGTGTCACCCTCTGCTCCGCAGACTAGCAACTCTCTCTGTCTCTCTGTGTCTCTGTGTCTCTGTCTCTCTGTTTCTGTCTCTGTCTCTGTCTCTCTGTTTCTGTCACTGTCTCTGTCTCTCTATCTCTGTCTCTGTCTTTCTCTCTCTTTCTCCCTAAGCTTAATCCATTCAGGCTGCTCCAACAGAGTTCTAGACTCAGTATGTGCTGTGGTGGTTCTGGATGGGGCTTCTGTCCGGGTGGCGCTGTGGGGTCCCGTGGAGGCTTTAGGTGATGGGAGTTTGGCCCTTGGAGGGGTCTGTGGGGACCTGGGCTCCTTCGTTCTCCTCAAGTCCTGGCCATGAGGTGAGCAGCCTCGCCCCGCCCCACACGTCATAGACCCCAAAGCAGTGGGCCAAGTGACCACACAATGAGACCTTCACAACAGCAGCAGGGCAGAGCAAACCTCTCTGCCCACGTTGATTGGCTCAGTCAAGGAAGGCTGACTAGCAGAGTGGCTCGTTTCTACTAAACAGTGGGAAGTCACTTCTCACAGTCCTGGAAGTCCAAGATCAAGGACAGAAGAGGTTCAGTGTCTGGTGAAGGCTGCTTCCGGACTCACAGAAGAGGCTTCCTTCCTGGTCCTTGCATGGAAGGAGAGGAAGTCTCCCTCAGACCTCCTTGATGAGGGCTCAAACCCCCTCCACCAGCCTTTGACCTATGACCTCATTGCTTCCCTAAGCCCCTACCAAATCACCTAGGGGTTGAGGTACCTTTTCAGCCCCTCCCTCCTATAGTTGCACTTCCTGTCTCTGTAGAGTTGATTATTTTGGACTTTTCAGGTGAGTGGAGCCATACAATGTGTGGTCTCCTGTGTCTGGCCTTTCTCTCTGTCTCTGTCTCTCTGTGTGCCAGTACCAGGGCTTGAACTCAGGGCCTGGGCGCTGTCCTTGAGCTTCCTTTGCTCAAAGGTAGTTCCCTACTACTTGAACCAGAACTCCACTTTTAGCTTTTTGCTGGTTAATTGGAGATAGAGTCTTAGCCATTTCTACTTGGGCTGGCTTTGAACTCAGATCCTCAGATCTCAGCCTCCTGAGTGGCTAGAAGTACAGAGTGAGCCTGTTTCTGAGCCTCTGTGCCCAGCGAGTTTGGCTTCTTTCACTGATCCTGTTTTTGGAGTTCATCGATGTTGTTGTTGTTAACATTTCATTGTTTTTTTTTTTTTTTTTAATGGCTGACGTCCATTTTGTTTTACCCGAGACTCCAGTGTCTGTGTGCAGGTGTGTGTGGAGCTGCTGGCCCACGTTGGTGATGAATGGGATGGCATCTTCCAACCAGAGCAGGAGAGCAAGGCTGGTGCATTTCCTGGCCCTGCCTGGGTGGAGGTGAAGCAGCCAGGAGATCAAGGCCCAGGGCTGCATGATTCAGCCCCTCAGGAGCGTTTTCTAGGCCCTGCATGTCCATCCCTAGCCGCCTAGGGTGGGGAGAAAAAGAAGCATCTCCAGACATTTGCCCACCCCAAAACAGGCTCTGCGTGGGGAGAGAGAGGCAAGGAAGCTGTTTCTCACTCTGAGCTTAAGCATATGCGCTTCATGGTAACAAGAACAGCGTTTGGCTAAACTTAGCCAGCGCACCTTCCTTCATTTTCTCCCACCCTTGGATGTCTGTGCAGAAAAAATGAGTGGACTATATATTTTCTTTCTGTCAAAAAAACCCCACAAACACCTGCTGTACTTTAGGGGAGAAAAGAAAAGCAAGCAAAAGGGAGTTTTCTGCATGACTTGTGAATTTGAATACATCTGCTAACTTCTAGAAGCTTCTACGCCCAGGCCTCCTATGAGATCAGTCACCTGGCCCTTCTTCAGCTAAAACCTTCCTTCCAGTGGCCCTCATGTGACTCAGAGAAAACCCCTTGAGTGCTGACAAGAGCCATGAAGTCGGAGGCAGCTTCTCCATCTCTGTGATCTCTCCCCGGAGGTCTCCCTCCCCCTGGACACCTGGCCTCCTGCACACAGCCCTAGGCACCAGGAACACGGCTTCCTGAAGCCCTTCCCTTCCCCCAGTGACACTTGCCTCATTTCCACCTCAGCTCCTATGTGGTCACCATCAGCCACGCCTTCCCCGGCTGGCCAGAGAATGTCAACAACCCCTCGGACACAGCCTGTCCCCCATGGCATGACTCGATGCCCTCTCTGTTGTGGGTTTTTGTGTTTCAATTTGATTGCAGTACAAGGGATTAGACCCAGGGCTTTGTGCCTGCCTGGTGTGCGCTCTACCACGGAGCTAGGCTCCAGGCCTGTATTTTAATGCTGTGAATTGTTAACTTTGCATGTAGTATTTCCGCCTCAGGGCCAGGATCGTGTCTGTTTGATGACTACATTTTTGCAACCCCTCAGAACAATTGGTAACACAACACCCAGTAACTGTCTCTCCGATAAATGATACTACTTCTAGAGATAGATTTTTTTTTTTAACATCTTCCAAGTGAAAGTAGAAAATGTTGGCTAGTTCTCGCAAACACATCTGTTACCGTTTCATGAATTAAAAAGATACAGGTATATTTCATACTAACTGTCTTGATCTGTGGCTATAACAAGAGACTTGAGGCGGGTGACTGAGCGCTCTGCTATTCCCACTCATGTGACAG